CCTCTATGAGATGGATTGATTCGGTGACTGGGGTAATCGGGATGGGTGTGTCAGAGGCAGTGCGGTTGGCGCAGGATAGAGCAGGGTTTAGGGCTGTGGTGCATAGGGTCGCTATGAGTAGCAAACGACTCTACAGCACATAATAACAACAACACCAACAACCTTAGTTGCACGTTCGATCAAATTCTGACTGCTAAGCTGGCAGAAGTCATTCATTTCCTCCTCTTTGGACCTGGTTATTGGTGCCTACATTGGAATGAAAGCACTGCCAAAGTAAAGGTACAGAGTTGGTTCCGATTCAATGGTACACAACAGTGACCAGTGGTGCTGGCCACGGAGCAAAGCTGGAGGAGGAGCAGAGTTGGGCTGCTCCCCCAAAGAGCGTTCTTTCAGGCAGCACGAAGCCAACCAGTACTCCAAGAGAAAGAGATGGGCAATCTCCTCCCATGGGGTCTTAGAGCCTTTGAAACTCCCCTGCAGGGTAATTGGCTGGTTCTTACTCAGGTTTTGTTATAAACCTGGCAATGAAGTTTATAAAGCATTATATCAAAGATATTATGGTCAGTGTTTACTCTAAATTAAGCTATATTATCTCTAATAGCAAAGATTCTACTGAAAAATTTTAAACTTACCTGTTTGCTATAATAGCATTTAAGAAAATAACTTACTTTATCTTTATGGGTTAACTGCTGGCTTATAACATCCTCACAGATGCTGCAAGAAGGAACCAAGTTGTGTAGTTGGTAGAACAGTTCCACGCTCTTCTGGTGGTGCTGAGGTGTCCCATCTCCCAGCTGCTCCCACAATGTTAAAGCCACATGCTATAGAAAAAGATAGGGGTGGCAGTGTTCCAACAAAAACATGAAAACTTGTGAGGTAAACATCTCCTGTTTATACTAAAAGACCTCTTGGCTGACATAGAATGCCATATTTGGATGATTTCTAACACTCACTGTGAACCTGGGATGAGATTTACGAGAGCATTTTTCCATTTGCGTGCTTTGTGCTCTTCGAGCCTTCAGAATATTCTGTGGTGGTCATTTAATGATATTTATTTTAAATATCAGACCTGTCAGTGCTTCCTGGAAGGCCAGATAAGACCTCATTTTTTATTTCAGTTATGTTTATAAAGAAATGCTAGACCACACCATCCTTAATAGTATAGAAATTCCATATGCAATGTACTATTTATGGTTCTGTATTTCAGAGCAAAATATAACTTAAAGACCAAACATTCAAGATACTTAAGACTTATAATACACCAACTGCCACAGGGTTGTTAAAGACTCTCAGTGACCCTTCATCAGGTTTTCTGGGGAGGTACATCTTTGCGGGAGGAGACTGATAATCCTTCTCCTGCAGAGCACCTGGTGGACTCGAAATGCCAATCTTTTAGTTAGCATCCCAATACATTATATACTATGTTACCAAAGCTCTTTTACAATATAGACACAAGTATACAAGAGCTATATCTAGTAACAAAATCTTTGATGGTCAATGACAGCATTCATAAAAATGCAATCTTCAAGGTTTATATGGAAATCAATTGTAACCTAGTAGGCGAAACTATCTGGAGAGGCACAATGCCTTTAAATCAGATTAAAACAACTGTGTATACGTGTGCACATCTCTGTGTGTGTTTTGTTTTGGTGGCACAATGCCTTAAGAGTTGCAATGCTAACCAAAAGGTCAGCAGTTTGAATTCACCAGCTGTTCCTTGGGAAAATGACAGGCAGTCTCCTCATATAAAGGTCTAGAGTCTCAGAAACTAAACGGAGGGTAGTTATGTATTGGGGGCTGACGGGTGTAGGGTGGATTTGTGTAAATACATGTGAATGAATCTGTAATATAGTATCTGTAATTCAATCCAAACACAGTTGATGTTCTTTATACATAAAAGACATTTATCTGTACCACTGAAGTAGAAATGAAAGACTGTATTTTTCCTGAATTACTTAACATACCACAGATCATAGTTAAAATAATCTGTATAGTCAGTTTTTTGCATAGCTAAGAGTACTCTGTGAATAGGAAAAGTATCATAAAGACGTTTATTTGGAAATCAGTTATACTATATAAATGAGCTTGATTAATTTTAAGTGAAATTATTTCTCCCGTAGCTTTAGGAACTGATACTTATCTTTCTTTACCCTTATAGTTGCTTTACCTTTATGGGTTTTTTTTCCCCTCATTAAGTTTTTTTCCTAATAGAACAGGTAAAGCAGTACATGTCAAATGTGGTATCCTTTTCTATAAGGAAATGTAAAGAGATGTTCAATCTTGGTAATCAGGTTTAAAATCACTGTTAAGCTAACTAGGTCATACATATTCTCCATGCAACGATTATTTTAGTGATGTATATGTTTTTAGTATTTACCTTGAAAAATTCTGTCTTCTCCGCTATGTACCTCAGATTGCCTTGAGTGAGAGGAGGTCTAATGACCACAGCTACTCTTCCTTGGTTTGGACTTAAGGGTTGTGCAGGTTCCATGCTGTTAACATTTTCCCCGGTGACGATGGCCACAGACTGAGTCAATCCCACTAGGTCCATGACTAGTGAAATGGCAACACTCTGAACACTGAAGTCATTGGCGTGGCTGCAGGCACTCATCAGAGTCTGCAGCCAGAGGGGAGGCTGCACCTGTTCACAGTCTGAGGAGGAAAAGAAAACAGCAGAGACACTTCATGACCCTTCACATATACTCTTTTCTCTAACTTCTAATTTAACATTAAGTAAACCAATTCTACTCTACTTACCTTAGGCCTTGATCTGTTAAAAACTAACCAAAACCTCCAACACCATGCTTTCTTATCTGATCTAGATACTTTTAACTTATCTAAATAGATTATTTTAAGAAAATAAAGTAGAATCAAGAATTTTACCCGCTTTTTTGATAATGTAGATTTTTTTTCTTATTCTAAGTCATAAACAGAATTTTTCCCCTTGTCCTGGTAATATGCTCACTACCATTAAGCTGATTGTTGGATCTCTAAGGCTGTAATCTTTACGGAAGAAGGCTTTCTTTCCCCTGCAGAGTTCTTGGGGGATTCGAGCCTCCCACCTTTCCTGTTAGCAGCCTGGCACTAGGTCACGTAGGCCTCTTGGAAAACAACATACTAATCAACAATTATCTAGTCCTCAATGCACTGTTACATGAAATCCACCACTTGGTCAATCTACTTAACAGGTCTTTCTGGAGCAACAACATCACTCATGGTGCAGCGCCAGGGCTGGGAAATGAAGAATGAAGAATGAACAAAACAAAGCCCTCCCTAAAGATCTTAACATTACAGACAAGAAGAGTCACGTCTGCAAAAAACCAAAACATGAATGAGGTTGAAGAAGGAGAAAACTACATTCCGCAGAAATGCTTGTTTCATTCAAAGGAAAAGGACAAGGTCAAAGGAAAGTATTCTAGAGGTATAAAAAAATGGGTGGCTGAGGAATGACTGAAGTAGGGCAGCATACCCAGAATTTTTCAAACTTCTTAACTATGAATCACAGCAATAACATGCAGTATTCTCATCAGAATCCAACATAAATATACCTGAATATGAAACAAAAGTTTCAAGAAAGTATATTTATATTTGCCTTCTAGTATTTCTCTCCTGGTAAAGCAATTTCTATACTCACATATCTGTCATGATTCAGTTTGAAAAACATTGTCATAAAACATACTACAGAAATTTAAAAAAAAAAAAGCCCAAGTGGGTATATAAGAGACAGTAATGAAACTTAGAAATCTGGAGGACAGCCAGCTGGCCAACTGACTGGAAAAGATCGACATTTGTTCCCATTCCAAAGAAAGGCGATGCAATAGAGTGCATAAATTATCAAACAATATCATTAATATAACATGCAAGCAAGATTCTGCTGAAAATTATCCAAAAACAACTGGAACAACATGTCAAAAGAGGACTGCCAGATGTGCAGGCTGGGTTTAGAAGAGGTCGTGATACTAGGGATATTAGATCTAATGTTAGATGGATCTTGGCAGAAAGCAGAGAGTACCAGAGGAATGTCTATCTGTGTTTCATTGACTATGCAAAGGCTTTTGACTGTGTGGATCAAAACAAGCTGTGGCTGACTCTGAGAAGAATGGGAATCCCAGAATATATGATTGTACTTATGTGAAACCTATACTTTGACCAGGAGGTAGTCATCAGAGCAGAGCAAGGAGACACTGCATGGTTCAAAATCAGGAAGGGCATTCGCCAGGGATGTATTCTGTCTCTATACCTCTTCAATCTCTATGCAGAGAAGATCATGCAAGACGCTGGGCTGTATGAGGAGGAATGTGGCATCAGGATTGGTGGAAGAGTCATTAACAACCTGTGTTATGCAGATGACACAACTCTGCTTGCTGAACTGAGGAGGACCTGACAGGCTTGATGCAGAAGGTCAAGGACTGCAGCCTTCAATATGGATTGAAGCTCAACATCAAGAAAACAAAGATTCGCACCACTGGGCCAATTGGCAGCATCAGT